TATATATATATATATAAACTGTTTATATATTATATGGATATATAGTTGTAATATATAGCGATCAGTAATGCGGCTGCTAGAGAATCTGGTTGTAGATGAGCATGTTAGGTTCTGCAGGACCCAGAGCTGATATTATCATGTGTGGTTGCTGTGATCACATGAGAGCTATTCAGTAAATAGACGTCAAACCTCGCTTTAGTTCAGAGTGGCTTTCTCCACAGGATCATGTAATAATACTCTTACTTGCCTCTTATTTGCCTATATGAGCGTTCTTGTTCTTTAAAGTAATATCCAAATGTGTTCTTTTTGTTCTTTTCTCTCTCTCTCTCTTTTTTGTCTGTGTGTGTGTTTCGTTCTATGTAGGTAATGAAATTTCACACATAAATTGTTTTCTTGATCTCGAGGGAAGTTCACATTTTTAGAATGGTGTCATTAGCATTAATGAATGCATAATGAGAGTTTGTCTTTTATGCACCTTCCGGTTTCACTGCCATTTCTTCTTTGCTGTATTGATTTCTCTATTGGGTTGTCCATGCTTTCATATGAACTGATGGGTTAGGGTAAATCGTTCATCTGTTCTAATTCGGTCACCTACAGCTGCCTCTCATCTCTCTCCTGCAGAAGATCAGAGGTGTGTGGAGTCAGACGTGAGCCGTCTCTCGCTCCAGTGGAGGCTGTCTGGACCCAGCTGTGTTTGATGCAGAATGCCTGTAGTTCAGTGTCAGCCAGCAGGCAGAAGAGGGAGCAACAGGACACATCTTCATCTGCTGCTCCTCTTCCTCAGTGTGCTACAAACACATGGATACATTCAAATCCCTCCTGATTGTAAGTGACAGTCCATCCGGACTCTAAACCGCATTCAGAAAGAATCTTGAATAATGTGCAGTTACAGTGTTTTGCGAAGTGTTGAGCTTTTAGCAGTCATTTCTTTAATGGCGATTAACAAACACTGCCTGGGTGCAGTTTCACACTTTTTGACACAAAACTGAGTATTTGGTGGTATGTTAAGTAATGCTTTTTAATCAGACGTATAATTTGCAATGATTTGGTCAAAGATACCGTGTCTTATTCACTAATCGTGCAAAATGCACAAACAGTGTTTTGACAAAAAAAAATCACGATTACTCCTCATGTGCTTTATTTATTTACCTTGCCAGAAGCCTACAAGTAGATGTGCTGGATCCTTATTGAGGGTCACGTCTTCTGTGATGCAGGCCAACTTAGAGAGCAGGATGCAATTGCAAAAGATTCGTTTGGAATAAAGAGACGATACCAATCTTTTTTTCCCCATACATTACAATGTGTCGTGTTTATTTATTCATTTTTTTTTCTGAGCAAAAGATGATGACTTATTATACATTTTTACCATGATTTACAGAAGACACTGTAATGTGATACTTGATGCTTGAAAAGCCCTTTTCGTCTGTAACCCCTCTCCGTAGTGCCAAAAGAAAAGAAAAAACCCAAATAATGACACAATAGCTCTTCCTCAGGCAGGTGGCTTACAACACACAAACACCAAGCAAAGACAGTAGTGAAACTGAGTAATTAAAATATAAGGGTGGAAACAAGACACTTGAAACAGATGACATAATTACAAATGATGGGAAACTAACAAAACAGACACACTGAGTGACAAAAACAACTAAAGGCCAAACACTTTTGGACTACCAGTGTAATTAGGGCTTTAAAGTGATTACAATTTTTAATCTAATTAATTACACACCAAATTTGGCTGAGAAATGACTTCCAAGAGAAAAAGTCATTGAGTCGTTTCTTCATTTGATTCATTCAAAATCTAGATTCATTCAGAAACGATTCATCAGAGATGCACAACAGTTCTGCTGTGGCTTTAATTGTGCAAAAACAAAACAAAAAATAGGGGGGAAAATCTAACACAAACTTATTTATTGAACTATAAAGATATTATAACATTTGCACTTGTGGTGTTCGGGACAAAAACAGCACTTATGATATTGCACTCATTGCTCGTGATATGATATAAATATGAGACAGAAACTCTTATGCCCCAGTCTCCTGCATTCTAGGCTCCATCACGCAGTGAGCTGTTGCCCTGCATGATGTTCGTCACTGATCCACAGAGAGGCCAGGTGCCTTAAATGCCTTAAGAAATGTAATGCGTCATTTTTTCCCCTCATTAATTATATTATGAATTGACAGCCCTACTGTGTATACTGTATGTAAGAGAGCAGCAAGCCAAAAAGTCACATCTTAGTCTTTATGTCTGTTTTTGTTCCATTGTTCGTGTCCTCCAGACAGCTGCTTATATTGTGCTGAACTCCTTCTGTCTAATGAAATCTTACATGGGTGAGGGAAAGGATTGACCTCAGACACATTTACATTGACTGAATCATTTAGGAATGTGATTTCTTTGTTGAATTTTGTTAGGAAGAAACACTGTGATAAATGCACTTCTCTATGGGATGCTGTTCCACATCACCAGAAACAGCTCAAAATCTGAGTGCCTGCATGACTCTGCCTAACCCTGCTCTCTCTCTCTCTCTCTCTCATTCACTGCTTCCGACACATATCAGACACATATGACAGCCGTAAGTACTTCAGCTTCCTCTGTGTGTATTCCTTTATTTCTGGCTCTGATGAGTATCTCGAACAGTTGAGTTTTGGAATTATAGCTACTAAAGTGAGACAGTATAATTGAGTGTAATCACACTAAAACAACTGATAGATACAGATATGGTCACTACTTTGTTTAACACGTTGACTTTATTCAAATGTTCATAGGTGTTTTAGGGGGAAAACAATATGAGAAAGTTCAAGAGCATGTTGTACTGTCCTGTTTTTTTTTTTTCATAACAGATGTAGAAGAACTGTTCTCACACCAAACAGATGCGAATCGTCATTTGACCCTTTAATGCTTGCACTCTCTATTCTATTTCTATTCTTGCTACTTGTCTTCTTTAAAAAGGAGAGAGCCTCTGACACTTGCATTCTCTATTCTTTTGACTTGTTTTATTAATTCTTTTTTTTAAAGACCCTCTAACACTAGCGTTCCCTATTCTTTTTCTGTTCTATCAACTTATTTTACTTTTTATTTATTTAAAAAAAGAACCCTTGCTACGTATACTGTGTTAAGCTAACTGAGACTTATCACAGCTCTTATTATTATACACTTATTATTACTTATTATTGTTATTAATACATATTATTGCCCTTTTGTTAGTCTGATTGCTTCTATTGTCCTCATTTGTAAGTCGCTTTGGATAAAAGTGTCTGCTAAATGCCCAACTGTAACTGTAAATATAACTCTACCTTTAACACTGATCACCCGTGGTTTCCCCAGTAAAACAAGCTCCAAAGATCACAGCTCAGCCCGGGTCTCACACCGCTTACTCTCTGGATGATGTCAGTCTGGCCTGTGAAGCCAGTGGAGATCCGACACCCAGGTGAGTCTGAGACGGTCCTTCCTCCTGCCCTGGTCAACTGACAAACATAAATCCCTCAACTCATTTTCTGTCACCCTTGTCTCAAATCATTGAACCGGATGGGTCAGATACTGTAAATACAAAATGTGCACTACTGTAGACTCCCAGGACGTGGAAAGTCAAAGATCAGGTCAGAACATCATCAGGGTTTTGAGAAATTCTCATTGATCTTCACCGTGAATCATTATTGGTGATTGACGATCTCTTTGACATCACTACATACAGCAGAGCTGGCCATTTACTGTACCTTCCTGCAAAGTTCAGCTCCAACCCTGATCAAACACATATGAAGCAGCTCATTAAGATCCTCAGGAGCGCTTGGTCATTACAGACAGCTGCAGGCTTTGGACTGAACACCCCTGATATCTGTGGTCAGCTTTTGTAATAGTTGTGTATGAGTCCCTCAGTCATCCTGTGTGAGAACCACACAGTTACTAATGGAAAGGGTTCACGTATGCAGAATACAAGCAAAGGAGTTGTCTGAACAGTGGACTGTTGAACTGCTCAGGACAAACTAGGCACTCGTACACAACTATTACAAAACAAACAGGTGTGGATCACCCAGGTAATGATATGAAGAATCAAGGTAAACGTTTGAACAGGCTCATTCTTTTGTTTTGTGGATTATATGGAAACATCTGTTATGTGAGCCTCCAGGGAGGGTCAACTGAACAACGCATAGCACACCTCAGGACTGTACATCTGTAAATAACTCATCAAAACTTTCATCTGTAAATAGCACATATGCACATTCACAATTCTGTCTATTTTATCTATATTTTATTATTATATTGTTATTTAAAATGATTGTCTATTCTCTTAATTATTAGTGTTTTATTACCTTAAATGATATGTATGTCTGCATTGTGTTTGTACTTTCTGCACTGGAAGCTTCTGACACCAAGACAAATTCCTTGTGTGTGTGTGCTCTTTCTGATTCTGTAGTTCATGGCAGTACTCTTTGCAGATTCTGTGAACTTGTGACCACAACTCTATGTACCCCTTCGTTTTTCTCTCTCCATCTGTATGTCTTTAGATTTAAGTTTAAAATTGTCTTTCTTTTCTTGCCCCACACAAAAACAATATGAGAAAGTTCAAGAGCATGTTGTACTGTCCTGTTTTTTTTTTTTCATAACAGATGTAGAAGAACTGTTCTCACACCAAACAGATGCGAATCGTCATTTGACCCTTTAATGCTTGCACTCTCTATTCTATTTCTATTCTTGCTACTTGTCTTCTTTAAAAAGGAGAGAGCCTCTGACACTAGTCTTTCTTTTCTTGCCCCACACTGACAGTTTCCGCTGGGTCAAAGATGGCAAACAGTTTGGGGAGGTTCTGTTTGAGTCTGGAACCCTGACAGCAGATGACACAGAGGAACTCCGATTCTACCAGGGCTCGTACCGCTGCTATGTGGCCAATGAGCTGGGAACCGCCGTCTCAGGCCTGGTGCACCTGATCACAGAGTGTGAGTCTCTCCTCAAACACCACAAGCACTATGTCTCAGTGGCTACGTTTGGAATAACACAATGCACTATATATATATATATATACACACACACACAGTGGGAATAGAAAAGAATCAGCCCCTTTAAAATAATCACATTTTGTTGCGTTGCAGCCTGAAATGAAGACTGACACAATTTTTGTCTTATACAGCTGTATTTACTCAGTGCAACTTATAACATCCAAGTGAAAGATAAAACACCAACATGTCACAAAAATAAAAACAATTAAAAAAACAGAATCACTGAGTTGGAAAAAGGATCGCCCCTCCTAAAAATGACTTGTAAACTCAATCAGGTGCAGCTCATCAGCTTCTCAAAGGCACACAAACCCATTTGACTTTCAGCTGTGCTCATTTGGATCAGCTCAGCATGAAAAGAGCTTTCCTCAATTATTTCAGTCCTTGGTAGTGCAGCTGAAGCAAACAATCAGCTATGGTTGGCAAGACACTGTCAAGGAGGAGATGGACACAAAAACATGTCAAAGGCTTTATCAATGTCTAGTTGCACTGTTATGTCCATTATTAAGAAGTGGAAGGTATTTGGTACAACACAGAGCCTCCCTAGATCAGGAGATCACTCCAAACTGATGAAAGAGCCGGAGGAAACTGCTCAGAGAGGCAGCCGAGAGCTACAGCAACTCTGAAGCAACTGCAGGGGTTTATGACAAAGAGTGGTCATTGTGTGCATGTGACAACAATATCACGAATTCTCCACAAACCAGAAGATCTCCGGGTTAAAGTTGTGGACAGGAACAAGTCAGGAGATGGACACAAAAACATGTCAAAGGCTTTATCAATGTCTAGAAGCACTGTTATGTCCATTATTAAGAAGTGGAAGGTATTTGGTACAACACAGAGCCTCCCTAGATCAGGAGATCACTCCAAACTGATGAAAGAGCCGGAGGAAACTGCTCAGAGAGGCAGCCGAGAGCTACAGCAACTCTGAAGCAACTGCAGGGGTTTATGACAAAGAGTGGTCATTGTGTGCATGTGACAACAATATCACGAATTCTCCACAAACGTGGCTTGAATGGAAAAAAGCTGCTCCTCATGAAAGGCCACACGCAGTCAGACTGAATTTTGCTAAAACACACCTTGAAGATTCTGAGGCAGATGAGACTAAAATGGAATTATTTGACTTCAACACCAAACGATAAAATCCAACACAGCTCAGTATCCAGATAACAGCATTCCTCCAGTAAAGCATGGAGGTGCTGATGTCCTGTTATGGGGTGTTTCTCTGCAGCAGGGACTGGAGCACTCGTCAGGAAAGAAGGAGAAATGGACGCGGCAAAATACCATCAAATTCTTGAGGAAAATCTGCAGCCCTCTGCCAGAAGTTGTCAATGGGAAGAAGGTTCACCTTCCAACACGACAATGACCCAAAGCACACAGCAGAACTGAGCACAGTGGTTGAAGGAGAAAAAGCTGAATGTCCTTGCATGGCCTCGTCAGAGCCCAGACTCAAACCCCACTGAACATCTGTGGAAGGACTTGAAGACTGCAGTCCACAAACACTCACCATCAGATTGAACTGAACTTGAGCAGTTCTGCAAAGAAGAGCAGGCAAATATTGCACAGTCTATATGTGCAAAGTTAGTAAAGACAAATCCAAACATACTAAAGGCTGTAATTAAAAGCAAAAGGTGTCTCAACAAATACTGACACAATGGGGCGATCCTTTTTCCAGCTCAGTGATTCTGTTTTTTTTTTGTTTCTTTTTCTGACATGTTGGTGCTTTATCTTTATCTTGGATGTTCTAAGTTGCACTGAGTAAATAGAGCTGTATAAGACAAAAACTATGTCCGTCTTCATTTCAGGCTGCAAAGCAACAAAATGTGATTATTTTATATTCTTTTTATATTTAACACATCTGCAGTATACAGTATGGTTACCTGTGCATTGTATGCAAAATATTGGTATGCATATCTGGATGGTCCACTACATTCTCTACAATAGCATAGTCAACAGCATAGCTGAATCCAAGTCCATTATGGATGTGTTTTTTACACCAGCTGGAGAAAATAAAATGAAAGACAGATCAATAGCACTGATGTGAATTGGCAGCAGTTAGTGAGCAGACTTTGTGCCTCCAGAAAGATAGAGGTCAGTATACAGTCCAAAAGCACTGTGACTATCAGAACAAGAAAGAGCCTGAGGTCACCTATAAGCCATTTTTCACTAATTGAATTCAAATGCAAAAGATTCCCCAGACTATAATTACTGAATTATACATTCAGTGCTGTAAGCTTATGTGACAACAGCATTGCAACGTTTTATCACTGAAGTATGTTTAAATATCATAGAAAGAAGAAGGGTACTAGGCAGTACACAGCATATAGTATGCAGTCCTCAAATATTCCATTCCAAAAAAGCCAGTGTGAGAGTCTGAAATCATTTATGCATGAATATTGCTTTGCTATAATGGCAAATGTCACCATACTGACGTCATTAGAGTTGCTGCAGACACAAACCTGACAGAGCCCTTTGAATAAACAGTGAACATTGCATAAATAGAATACATTAAAGAATTATTCTGGCTATTTCACAGCCATCCCAACCTTGGCCAAAGAGAAGAGGCAGAAAAGAAGATCGTTTGAGGAGGGAGAAAGCACAGTCCTCTACTGTAACCCTCCGAAGAGTTCTGTCACTCCCAAAATACACTGGATGGATATGCGTAAATATTCTATTGAATCTACTTTTGCCAAACTAAATTGCTCTGCATAACACTTGAATTCATTAAACTGACACCCCCCCCCCTCTTTCTTCATTTATTTATTTATTTGTCAGAGTTGCGCCACATCCCTCTGAATGAGCGAGTGACCACTAGTCTTGATGGAAATCTGTACTTTGCCAACTTACTAGTCAGTGACAGCAGAGAAGACTACACCTGCAATGCCCACTACATCAACGCCAGCGTCATCCTCCCCAAAGAGCCCATCGCCATCAGCGTCACACCATGTGTGTAAACTTTCTTCTGACTTGTGATAAGTTACATAACTCTTCTCTCTGCATGTGAATATGCAGGTTGTTTCAAAGCAAGTAATATAACAATAACAAAACCAAGGGACGCTTTACAATACAAAACAAAAAGAAGGAAATTGAAGCATGTTCAAAGCAAGTGTGCCGCGCGTGTCCTGAAAAGTGAAGCCAAAATATTTCAATCGCCCCTGCTGGCTGACTGCAGTACGGATCATAAAACCTCCGTAAAACCAGTACCTCTCCACGTAAACGAATGGGAAGTGAGCCAAACTAAATAATCAAATTACACTTCAAATAACATTTTCCCAAAGAATATTTCCGTCATGTTAGGTAGTTTTTATCATGCTGATGTATGTTCAAGTATTCATTTGTGTCATGATTGTGAGTTTGCGATTGGGTCTGCGGGAGTTTAGGCGGGACTTTGATATCGTGGCTCCACCTCACAATCACTGCTGCGTAGACTCTGGCTCTGAAAGAATCATTACTGCGCAGACTCAGGCTCCAAATGAATCCCTACTGCGCAGACTCGGCCTCCAAATGAATCACTACTGCGCAGACTCGGCCTCCAAATGAATCAGTACTGCGCAGACTCGAGCTCCAAATTAATCACTACTGCGCAGACTCGAGCTCCAAATGAATCAGTACTGCGCAGACTCGAGCTCCAAATTAATCACTACTGCACAGACTCGAGCTCCAAATGAATCACTACTGCGCAAACTCGAGCTCCAAATGAATCACTACTGCGCAGACTCGAGCTCCAAGTGAATCACTACTGCACAGACTCGGCCTCCAAATGAATCACTACTGCGCAGACTCGGCCTCCAAATTAATCACTACTGCACAGACTCAGGCTCCAAATGAATCACTACTGCGCAGACTCAGGCTCCAAATGAACCACTACTGACTCAGGCTCCAAATGATGTCACTGGTGCAAGTGACAGCGGCCATACTGGGATGTTTTGGCTTCACTTTTCTATAGTGGAAGGAAGTGGAGACGCATCGTCCAACTTTTTTTTACAGTCTATGGTCAAAGAGATGTTAACAACAAAATTAAAAGAGGTTGAAAAAAATATATAAAACTGCCATCAGCAATTACTTCGTCCAAGCATTGCAATGGCAAAATTATGGATACTAAATAGCATTCTATAGCATTTGGATACTAAATAGCAAATCCTTTTTGTAATCTTTCCATCAGATTTGTTGATGATTTATATAAGAATGATTTGATAACTTTTGGTATGGTAAGCATGGTATAAAAATTATTTGAGCCATGGAGTTTGGGGTGAGGATCATGTTCTTAAAATTAAATAATAAGAGTAATGATAATAATAATAATAATAATAATAAATAAATAACATAGCTAAAGGACAGATAATACAAATGCAGTTATAAATGTATTGCTACAAATGACAATAAAATACGTAACAGAAATTATACAGGATTTTAAACAGGATTGATTCTGACAAACTTACAGATCTCTTAATTATAGCTTTTTTTCCCCTTTTTTTTTACTTAAAGAACTGAACATACTGTATTTACAAAGAAGAACAAGTCAAACAGTAGCTTTATCCATAATTCATAGGGTCCAGGCTTTGGTCCTGGTGCTCCTGATGGACAATCCGTTCCTGTGATGACACATGCGATGCTCTCAGCTGATACACCAGTGTGTTTGTAAAAAACAGAGTTTTTTGACAAAATTTAGGGTAATATGGCTAATGCCCAATATGACTAACATATGAAGATTGGGTGTAATTATTGGCCAGTGGAATCAAAATAGACCAGTCTCACATTTTTGGCTTAAATAAACCCTGCACAATTGCTGCTGACTGCCATCTTTTGTGTTATTATATGTAAGCACTTGCTCCACAGAAACAACATTTGGTGCGAATCCTTGGAATGACTGATTTTTGTCACTGTTCTTAAACAATATAGTGTCAGTAAGGTACAGTACTGGGCAACTGTGCAGTGATGCCTGGTTTGAAGTGAACCTTCCAGTTGATTCTGAAGATCTTCACTTCAGGTCTTTGTGCAGGCCAGTCAAGTTTTTCACACCAGTCATACTAAACCATTTCGTTATGAACCTCACTTTGTCCTACGGCAAGGTTTCCCAAACGGGAGTTGATTAGTTGATGAATTAGATTGAATTAATCATGGAATAGCTTCGTGAGATTATCAAAGGCTGTGATTTATTTAAATAATTTTACAGTCTGATTTCAGAGTGAAGTCTCTGCATGTGCTATGAGTTTATTGTACATTGGGAATGTGACGTTCGTAAGATTTACTTTTTAAAATTATTATTATTATTATTGAATATTCACAGCCATGGAGGGAAGTGTGACTATGACACGGAGCCTCTGGGTTACATATGTACAAATTACATGGTTCAGAGGAGTTTTCATGCTGAAATAATCTTTTTCTTTCTATACACTGATTCTGTTTATACACTGAAAATGAATAAAACTTACATGTGGGGTTCACTTGTATTCTTTGGTTTTCACAGCAAATTCTGTGGTGAAGAACCGGCGGCCCCAGCTGCAAAAGCCAGCGGGATCCCACAGTTCTTATCTGGTGCTCAGGGGCCAAACGCTGACTCTAGAGTGCATCCCAGAAGGCCTGTGAGTATTCAGCCAATGTCTTTTCATGGCAGCTGAATTTACAATCAAAAACAGACACTGGCAAAAACATCTGCATGCACTCTTCAGCTGACAAAAACAAAAATAATCTGTCAATTAACATTTTAACAGAATTCAATATCCAATATACAGTGGCGTTTATGAACTATTCTTCTCAAGACTACGACAGCGTTTGTGCAAATATAACAAACAGACACATGGCTAAACATATAGCAGACATAAATCCAGGTAACAGGTAACAATGTAGAAAGAAAATACTTGTAGCTGTAGCGAACCAGCTCATGGGGAAATATGAATAATTAATCATAACTAGTTATAATTAATTATAAATATTTAGATCCTCTGTAGATATTTACTTGACCTCTCAGGGTCAACTGTCATTTAAGGTCTCGGAAGATTCCCGCCTCTTAAAATGAGCTTGTCCAATGAGAAAGGCTGACGTCCCAAGCGGGAGGTTGAACATACTGGGGATTTTTATGGCTCTTTGTGTGAAAGCATGGTAATTTGCATATGGAACTTGAATCGAAATTACTAATGATTCTAAGAACACTAATATATTGCCTATGTACCAACATATAATATACACTCTCGTTTAGATCATCAGAAGGCGAATTCATAGATACTAAACATGGTAGGGTTACATATAGGTAAGATGACAGGAATGAGTGTTTCGATCATAAGCCTGCATAAAACAGTATACAATCTCAAAGACAACATACACGATGAACTGAAGGATATGTGTGTTCATTCAAAGAAAGGTTTTCCTATGGATTAATTAGACAAAATCCATTTCTACTGTGCATTGTGCCTCTTCCTATGGAACATGCAGTGAGAGGGGGAGGACTCTCAACATGCCATTAGGTCATAAAATCTATCTGGTGTCAGGGTTGCCATGGTAACCAGGGTCCTGGGCCTCGTTCACAGACAACTTGGCACCCAGGCGTCTTTCCCAAAAAGACTCATGGCTGTATTCGATCAAAAGGGTGCTTCTACTAAATACTGAGCAAAGGGTCTGAATACTTAGGACCATGTGATATTTCAGTTTTTCTTTTTTAATAAATCTGCAAAAATGTCAACAATTCTGTGTTTTTCTGTCAATATGGGGTGCTGTGTGTACATTAATGAGGAAAAAAAATAACTTAAATGATTTTAGCAAATGGCTGCAATATAACAAAGAGTGAAAAATTTAAGGGGGTCTGAATATTTTCCGTACCCACTGTATATCAGAGGCGGATGCAGAACGTTGTTTGTGGGTGGGCCTGAATAATATATGCAATATATACGCAATATATATGAATATTTATGCAAATACTGCATAACCTGCCATGACGGGCCAAGCTAAGCAAACCATTTTAACTTACCTTGAATAAGCAGTGTCTGTAGCGATGAAGATGTTTAAACAAGTCGCTGTCATCTGGGTTTGGAATGAAAGATGCCAATCATTTTGTCATAATCTAAGTTTTCTGTTAGTTCTCTTTCAAAAGACAAAAGTGTCAAATTGTCTTGTCAACATTGACGATCTCAGACGTGTCTTGATCCGGACTGTTACGGAGAAAAGTCTCTCAACGCAGCAGGACATCATCAGTAGAGTTAAAATGGCCCTGAATAGACTGTTGGTGTTTGGGAAAATGTCATAAGGACAGCTACAGCTACAGTACTTCAATCAGTGAGGGGAATTTTCCATTTCTGTATCAATTTTGCCTCTGACGTGTTGAGTGAAAACTGTGTATTCATCACCTCAGACTACAATACCATACAAATCGCATGGGGCTTTCAGCAGTTCTTTCAGGCCAAAACTGGTGGATCCAGCTAAGAGGGATGCTGAAGCTCGCATGACTCCATATGTATCCTCTTTAAAGAGATCAGCTCTGCTATCTGCCTGTCCAGGATACAGGATTATCCACACAATACCCTTAAATCATTGTTTTTGACAACAGATGTTTTCCCTAGTGGTGTGGTGATGGCAGACTCGTTGAATTTATTGCTCTGATGAGAAGAAGTTACATCCCAGTCATGCTTGGTCATTAACTCCTCCGTTAGTTTGAGCACTTTGTCAAAGTCACCATTGGAAATCTGCATAAGTAGCTTTCAGTTTTTCAATCAACAATATATAGTCTGTCACCCACAGTGATGAACTCTGTTATCCTTTCGTTACAAAATCACTGCTCTCAAACAGTTCTAGTTTGATCACTTGATTCGGCATATTCAGCTAACGCCTTCAGTAGTACATCCAGCAAATCAAATATTTTGTGCATGGACCCTGATTTTGAGCTCCATCTCGTCTCGCACGGTATTTCCAGTTCCATACACAAGACAGATCTACCTATTAGGAAGTCATTTGGTTTTTATTTTTTATTTTATTTGTAAATTATTTTTTTATTACTTTGAATAAATGAATATATTTATTTGTGTTCATGTCTTCCTCTGACAGCCTTCATTAAGCTATGAGTATGACTAGGCTATGCGTTCCTTACCACTCCTGTTGCAAGGAAATGAATATTTTTATTATTGTGAATATATTCTTTTGAATCTATTATTTAATATGATATACATTTTATATTTAAGTAGTCTAATGGCCATGGCCGCTTCCGTCCAGCCAGCTGCTATTGAGCTGCAGGTTGATCGTGTTCCCTACCACTCTTACTGCAATGAAATTCATTGTTTTATTATGAGTAATGTATTCTTATGAATCTACTCTTTTGTATAATTGACGTTTAAGGGAGGTTTATCCTGAATACAGGAGACAAATGGCCGTGATCCCGACTGGTGGGTCTAGCCAGCTGCTATAGAGAATGAGGAGTTACATCACAATGTTTTCACTCCACTTTACATTTTGGGAAGGCGTCGCCATATTAGCAGGATAGCTATCCGTCGCCATGGTTACTTCGACAGTGACTGTGAGACCAAGAGAAAGAGCAACAGAGAGAGAACAGCTTGATATTTGTTTGCATTCTTGGGAAGAAATGGAGGAGAAAGCGAAAGGAAAGGGGCTCTATCAGGAGAGACTAAATCACACGCCAAGCAGCGTTATTTCGAGAAACTGCTTGACATCAACAACATCGACCCGCACGACCTGCCGGCTACAGAACAGACAAAAGACCCAGAAGCACTTCCACCTCTCTTATGGATTAAGACCTTTATTAGTAAAGTGTGCACAGAATGTGGTCTTTTAACATCACTGTCTCAGTGCATTAAGCGTTTTTTTATATGAGAGGAAAACGTGTTGCGTTCACATTTTGGGCTCATATGCGTGTCTGCACATAGTAGTATGCTTTATAGTTTTGTCTTTATCACTGTCTTGGTACATTAAGCCACATTAAGCGTTATTTGTGTTGAGTGTTGTATAATGTCTCCGTTCAAGTGCTGCTAATTCACAAGCTGAGTGAGAGTCATACTCGAAAAGGCAATGTTAATTAAACTTGATTAAACAATTAAACAAAACTTTCAAAAACACCGGCAATGTGATTATTTTATTGAGTGATAGGCAGTGGATTTAATCAGTGGAATTATTAATAGATTTACTATCTGGCGTCTTCTCGTCATCTCCACGACCTGATTCCCTTGGTGTTTTTACACATAGGAAAGGCGAAAAAAATTATTGCATTGTCCAGTTTTCTCTCAGAACGATTATCTGAGCTACTATTGCAATTCTCAATGCAGCAAGAATGACATACAATGGTGACATTTTTCACAGTGGCGTGATGTCAGCTTCACAATCTCTATTACGCTGCTAGTTTAACTCGTTCTCTACCACTCTCTCCGCTAGGAAATATATTAATTTAAGATTATTAATACATTCTTATAGGTCTATTCTTTTAAATTGTTGACATTTTAAGTCAAGTCAAGCCACCTTTATTTGTATAGTGCTTTATACAATACTGATTGTGTCAAAGCAGCTTTACAGTGTCAAACAGGAAAATAGATTGTGTCAATAATTCAAGAAGACAATAACATTCAGTTTTCAGTTAAAGTCAGTTCATTGACGTTTCAGTGATGTCATCATCCAGTTCAGCTCTCTTCCAATAGTGTCTGTGCAATCAGTCAAGTGTCCCCAACTAAGCAAGCCAAAGGAACCAAAACTCCATCGGTGACAGAATTGGAGAAAAAACCTTGGGAGAAACCAGGCTCAGTCGGAGGAGCATGAACATGTAGATTTATTTTAGCATTATTTAAGCATGAAGATCAATCAATAACTTATTTCATATTCAGAAATGTTTGTGGATGGATCTTTCACAATAGTGAAGTACCTGTTGAGAAACATCTTTGAAAGATGTGATCGCAATACTCGACACACGAAACACAACAATGGTAACACTTACAACATAAACCAGCATTACAAAATGAACATGGTGGCTCATAGGAGTGATTTTTTTGTTCCTTTAGTCTATTTTAAATTGTTGGAATGTATTTTGATATTAATTTAAATAGCTCCATGAAATTCCCTTTATTAAGGAATGCATCTTTTGTTTCCCTGTGTCCTCTGAGGGGAATATCCAGCTTGGCACATGACATAACAATGTCTAAAACAACTTTAACGTGTTGCTGGTTCGGCTCTGATTTAACATGGTCCCACGGCTTTGCGCTCCATTGCTTTCCCTGTATGCATCAAACTTTAAAAAAGCGCAATTAAAATGCGGTTTGCTAGACTCGTGTTCGTTACAGGCCTGTCAGAGACAATCTTTATATCCGTCTTTTGTGAAAGTAAACTCACTATGTGCTTCAGGAAAATGTCTGCATACTTTACAAAAAATAGTAGGGTATCTCTTGTTTTGCTATATTCAATCCACTTTAACTTCAGTCAGGATCTCTTAAGTCAACAAGAACCCATAGACAAGCATTTAAATCAACTTTTTATTAGCATGTTTACTAAAGTTACATTTGGCAGTATGGCTCTGTTCCAAGTTCCCTATCCTTTTCATGAGCTCCATGAAAGCCAGGACAGGGAAACAGCAGTCACTTCAGGGGCAACCTTCCTATT